ACCGAAATTTCCCAAACTTTAATATCACAATCCAAACTGCCACTGTAAACCAAGTAAGAAACCACAGCTGAAGAAGAAGAATTATTATCGGTGCTAGCATGATTATTCTCTGCAATTGCCGTCAAACATTTGACTGGACCCCTGTGTCCTTCAAAGACAGCCAAACAAGAGTAGCTCTTTCCAAGTCCTCGCCGCCAAACTCTGACCGTTTTATCCGCTGAGCCGCTACACAGTACCAAATCCGAGACAACAGTCAAACATAAGATGGCCTTTGTATGCCCTCTCAATGCACCCGCAACCACCATATGTTCACTGCTGCCGTCTTTTTCCCACACCACTATCGACCTGTCACACGCACCAGAGTACAAAACAGCCCCATCTGAGCTAAGTGCCAATGCATTCACAGCTGACTTGTGTTTGTCTAGTGTAGCAACAAGACTGTGTTTCTTGTCTCCTTCATGTTTTTTCCAAACCTTAATCTTCTTGTCTGCTGAGCCCGTGTAAACAAATCCATCACTGGACAAAGCAACTGCATTAATGGCATCATCGTGTGCATTCCATACTGATTCCAAGCATTTGAAGTCCGAGGTTCTCCAAATCTTGAACGTCCGATCCCACGAAACGGAGTACAGCAAAGAACCATCTGTCGACAAGGCCAGGGCTGATACAGTGTCAACATGATGAACCCATGTGCACTTCTTGTGTCTCCTCACTTGTACATAATTCTTGGCCGAGAAAGCTCTCATGCAACGATCGTTCAACGTTGGCAAGGTTGCAATGCATTTGTACTTTCTCTGTGGTGTGTGATGATCGTTATCGATCTTCCACGCACGAATTTTGTGATCATTATGGGCAGTGAAGAGCTTGTCACCTAGGATTACTATAGATTTGATAGCACTGTTGCCTTGTGCTACCAAGTTACAGTTAGTACTACCATTGATTGAGTAGTCATCGGGGGAGGGGTCACGGCTCCATGCGCGAATTTCGCTATTGGAAGAGCCGCTGTAGAGGTGTTTTCCGGCGAGAGCTAGTCCGAAAACATAAGAGGAGTGGCCTTTGAGGGTGGCTAAAAGGTGGTGGTAGGTGTTTGAGGGCTGTTCAACATTTTGCGGAGGGGATGTTAGAGAAGGAACAGATGGTAAACTTGGTTGTGAGTATAGGGAAGAGTTGGATGATGGGTCTGAACGGTTAGAATGGGATTGATCAGATTCTGCTTCGTTAATCTTCAAATTGCCAGGTAAAGGGCAAGGGAGAACCCCCATTTTTTGTTGAAGATGGAGAGAGCCAATTCTTGACAGTGAATTTGAGATGGACTAAATATCTGAACTGAATTTGGCTAAATATAAAAACTAGTTGGCCCCGGTTGACGCGCAAGATAGAAGAATGGTGCTTGTTAGCAAAAGGCGGGACAGCGATGTACGAAAGGAAGGGTCCAGTACTACTGTTCAACATGAAAGCGTGGAATGGACTACGAGATTTGATACAAAGTTGCACTGAGCCACCTTATCTTTAATGATTTATTTAATTTTTGAGGTTTGCTAGTTTGTATCCTCTTTTAAGACCACTTGTTTAGCAAAATCCAGATTCTTCCCAAAAAAAAAAAGGGGGAAAAAAGGAGCTGGAGCAATTGTGGTTGTGTAAAAGGTATTTTTTCAGTTTGGAATTACTAGCTGATAGGATCAATGATGTTCAAATCAAATCAATTTCTTGCATCTTTGTTTGTGCTTCTACACAAAGCAATCCGGACCTACCACTATTTCACCATCCACGGTCGATAGTAGGCCAAGTATAAAGTGTATTAATCTCAATTCCTTTGGGTGATTTGAGAATTAAGGTGAATAATCTAGACTGAAGCTAATGTGTTATCTTAATTAAGATTATCTTGATGATAGATCCGTCACTGTGCATTCTTTCAATTGCCTTTTACTGTAGTCTGAATTTAGCATGGTAGACTTCACGTCACATCCATAAGCTGTTATCTTGGGCATGGTTAGAAGGGATAAGATATGTAATGTTCATTGTGTTTTTATTCTATCTTTTCTTTCTTTTTTAGGTCAAATTGATCAAAGTGGGCGTGGTCCCGGTGTATATATATCTCAGTGCATGAATTGAGAGTATGGACAAGTAGAAAATTGGAAGAGGAGAGTAATTAAGTATTGATAATCCTTATTACCGATAAGGAAGCTTCATAAGACGACAATTAAATTTTGAAGCACATAGGAGGACTCTCTCTTTGTCATTGCATTAGTTTTGCGACATTTGGAATTTTATGATGTAAGGACTCCCTGTTACTTAATTAAATAACGTAATTAGTAAATGTATATGTATGTGCATGCGCTAGCTTTGTCCGCTTTCGCATCTCTGATAATACTCCACCAATTGGAGATTAGTGCATGGACACCATTTTCGGTCGGGGGTCAACGTACTTCTTCAATATTTATATCCTGTGAATCTGGTCTGTATAATTTGACAATGTACGTATAATTTACGCACACATTTCTTTTGCTTTATAAGATTACGGGTGGGCTTGACTGGTTGGCTTGCTCAAGGAAACACGGTACCTATTACAGAGATATTAATCTTCCGACCCCAATGATTTTGTCTTCTGAAAAAAGAAACATCGGCACACGGTATTAGTTAAACGAGTCCAAAGCTTCCCATTCATTTCACGAGAGGACATACTACAAGTTCTTGGGTTGTCAACGTGCAACTTGCTATCCTTTCTGGATGATAAAGACGGGAGCAATTTGTGATGGAAACGGGAGAGGAAAAGTTTTCGATCCAGGAATCGACAAATCAAAAAAACGGACGTAAATTGTGAAGTCGCATCAGAATTACCCATTTTTGGCCTCTATCCATTCCATTGTGTGCAAGTGAACTATCTGAAGTACAAACGGATAGATGCTAAAACGTCCAGTGTTACTTTTCTTTCTCCCGATTCCGGTTTGTTTGATTTTGTTGCCATTTACCGGCCAGGAAATGATGGGACTGGATGGAAATTAATGGGGTTGGTGGAAGGTTTGTTTTCGTTCCGTACAAAACGAAGCACAGGGATACGCAAGTTGCCAGTCCCAGACCTGTTTTCTTTTTCCTTTCGGCATTTGTAGTGGTGGGGGACCTGAATTTTGGAAATTGATCGTCTAAATGGGTAAAAACTTGCTTTCAAGATTCAACAATTTGACCTTGGAAGTAGTAAGAGTTGTCAAGTTTTGGATAGCCGGCGCATACTCGTTTAATTATGACAGAACATGAACCATAGATACTTCAAATTTCAGTTTGGCTCGGCTGAAGTGTACGAGTTTTATTTAGGCTCAATACAAAACAACAACCATGGAAACTTCCAATTGGTGTCTGTTTGGCTCCATAGAAATTTACAAGTTTCAATTAATCTCAATACTTACCCAACCGTCCTTTGAACTGTTGGTCACCACCAAAAACTTTAAATCTTGGTGGAGTAGGAGGCTAGAGTTCAAATATTGCCTCTTATTAATGTGCCACTATATGTACCTTTTTCTAAATCCATACGGGTACGTTGTGCCTCCATCTGATCCAATGATGGTTCAATTCCCGTAAGTTTCTTTAAGTGCTATTGGACCTCCCCCCTCACCCCTAAAAGTGTATGTTAGGCTTCTTTAGGCCACGTTGGATCTCTCCCCCCCCCCCTTAGTGGGGGCTAGAGTATGTTAGAATAACTGTTGCAGTCTAATAAAAAAATTAATCTCAATACTTTGTTTACTAGTTGGACTTTTTTTTTAAGAAAAAATAAATAAAGTTTGTTAAACTGCACATTTTTTAGGATTACTTTAAATGCTTAGCTGCTTAAGAGATTGGAGAAAAGCTCATTCTGGGTTAACTACAATACAAATTAATGAGAAGGTTAAACTATAGTTATAAAAATTAAACAAAAAATAAAATAAAATACTACTCATGGTGTTGTGCTTTTCAGTCCATTTCCTCACCCTTGCCGTGGGCTGGATCAAGCCATTGCTAGTTGGGACTGAGAAAGCTACAATTCCTTAAGGATTGTTAGAGGCCCACTGTCAAACCCATTTTATTTGAGATTTGCAAAGAAACAATTTGTAATTCCAAACATACTCTTGAACGAAGGAAAGCGATGTAAGAGACGAGTCGAGTTCGGGAGTTGAGTTCGACCACTCGAGGTCAACTTGAGTTACAAAATTTAGATTCAAAACTCGAGATTGAACTTGTCAAATTCTTGAAAGTCGAACTCGAGCTCAATTTTATTTTACCAAAGCTCGATCTCTTGCAAATCGATCCCAATCAAATTTAATTTGAGTTTAATTGAGCTTAATCGATTGTAATTGAGTTTGGAAATATATATTTACATTTTATATAATTTTAAACAAGGGACAAAATAAACATCTCATACTAATAAATAAAAAAATTAATATGTGTGTGTGTGAAAGTGAAACTTAATTGAGCTTGATTAAACTAGACAAACTTTCGAGTTTTACATATTATGTTTGAATTCAACTTGTTAAACAGCTTGAATTGTTTAAACTCAATTAACGCATGTTCGAGTTCAGACTTTAACGAATAACTGTGCTAGCTACTCAATTCAACTCGACTCATTTACAACTCTAAAGGAAGCTAATAGATTTGCATCCTATAATTTACGTTTTAGTATCAATTGTTCCCTCCTAAGATTTGCCATAATCATCAAAATCTTTACGTACATATTATCATCTTATTTTGCTGCACCAGTTAATTATTATACACATAACGTGCGAGTCTTTAACATTGCTCGCCAATTGCGAAAAATCATTTAGCATGAGTTTAGCAAGTTCAACCTCGCTTCTCATAATTGTAACTTGGAAACTTCTTTTGCTTTTGTTGGTTTTCTTTGTCGGCCTTTTCCCTCAAAGGAGCAAGGACTTGTTCAGACTCAAAGGAGCAAAATCCAAGGATGTCTTGTTTTAGTTTAAACTTTGGTCCCACTAAAGTAACTTTCTATGAATTACTAGGGAGCAAAACAAATAATGGAGTAGTACAATATTTACATGCTCGTTTTGCACATAGAAATGTAACAACTTTTCCACACGCCACAACAAACAAATACATATGGGCAAAGTCTCCTGTAAATACAATGAATGAACGGTAATCACTGAATTACTCCTAATCCGTGTCTATCCTTTAAAATAATCATGTAGAGAGAGTAAAAGAATACTACTAGGTAGTATGAAATTTACTACAATAGAATAATCGGCAACAGGAATAGCCCAGCAATCAGAAGAATCCGTGATGATTTCAAGCCCCAGGACCCGTTGGAGTCCCTCTCGTTACTGGGCGTCAAAGTTGTTGACCAATTGAAATTCGGGTTAGACCCGTACAACATCTGGATCCCCTGAATGTCATCTTTGGTGAGCTCCACTTTCCTGGTGGCAGACCCAATACTCGGGTACATAATCGCCTCCCCAACCGACGAATGACCCAAACCCAACAAATGCCCGATCTCGTGAACCGCCACTGACTCCAAGTCAACGGCTGAAGCCAAAGACGGGGCACTCAAAAAATCGCCGTCGATCACCCAATTCTCGTCGCCGTCCAGATGTAGCCTCCCACTCGGCGGCGAAAACGCGTGAGCCAGAGTCCCCAGAACCCCGTCAAAGGGCTCCCCATCGCCGTGGTCCCCACTAAAAATCCCGATTTTGATGTCCGCAAGGCTAAACGACGCCGTCTCGGTAAAATTCAGCGTCGTCACCTCCGACCATCGGTCGAATGCGTTTGCAAACACCCTTCTGACAACGTCTTCCACCTGATTCTCCGGAAGAAAAGCGTAGGTTAAGTCCGTCTTCCCCGCCGGCCAACGAGGCATGCCGGGGAAAAACGAGTAATGGGCAACCGTGTGAGGGCGGAGAGAGTTAGCATTTGCTACTTTGCCGGAGTTCATGGAAGTAGTACCGTTGACGATATCGGGATTGCCGCATCTCGGGCGAGTAATGTGCTGCAAAGTGGGCGCGTCGAGCTCACCGGTCTCGTTAAGGTTGAAGTTTCGCTGGTAAGTTTTGAGAGCAGTTCCCAGGTAATCATCGAAATCATCGGTGAAGTTAAGGAGAGAAGTGTTAATGTATCCGAAACGTTGGAAATATTGTTTGAGCTTTGCTAAGCCGTCCACTTTCTGACCCGTGTGGCAGCCTAGGAACTGATTAAATGCATCCCAAGAAGTTTTGTTTGGGATTAGAGATTTGGGAATGGAGGAAATGTTGGGGAAGAAATGAGCTGACGTTGTTGGAGTGAGCGAAAAAAGTAGCAGTAGAAGAAGAAAAGATGATTGGACGACGATGATGATGGAAGAAGAAGGGATGATTCTTTTCATTTTTTGATGGAGCTGCCTCCAGGCAATGGAAACTTAGCAGTGTGGATCTGGACGGACGGTTCATATATGTGTTTCGGAAAAGGATGCCAGGGCCAGGGGTATTGCTATGCTATTTGGCGGGTAATCATTATTGACTCTAATGGCGGACAATTGTCGTGCAGAGGCGCGTTTACATATATTACTATTATTTATTAATCCGAGTTGGAATTGTTCCGCAGATTGTACCCATTTTTGTTCCTTGGAGTTGGAGTGTTCATACTTCATGCTACTAGTCTTACAATTAATTGGACTTATTTTTTTTAAAAAAAAAAAAATCTAATCATAACTAAATAAGTTATTTTGTGTTTCGTTTGGTTATTGCATTTCAGTGTCAATTGTAATAATGGTACTGCAAATTGTTAAGATGGTATCTTCAATCGCTGCTTTTAACTAATCTCGTAAGAACGCATTTCTTTAATGCACCCTCAAAGGTATAACAACAAATGCAACTGAGGTTTCTTTATTGATTAATAATCTAATCAAATGCTCCAGTAAGAGACGGCAACAGACTGAAAATTCCAATGTGTTGCGAGGAACCAAAATACTAGTCCTTATGCTTGTAATGACTTGCAACCACACGCGCACGCGCACAAAGAAAAAAGGAAAAGGAAAAGGTTCCTTGGTGACTAGTTTCTACTTTCTACGATGCCTCGTTCACTCTTGCTGCGTAGCGAACTAAGCAAATTGGAAGTTCTCTTTTCTCGTTTGCAGCAGTGTCGTTTTGTCAACTCGTACATGAGAATGAGAGGCCGAGACATCAGGTGTTGATCTGTTTACTTTTCAACTTACCAAAATTTTGACGTTTTCATTGCCTTGTAGTAAAAATATATATTTTTTTATATTTATTATAAATGTAGGACTACGGTCAACAACACTGGAGGTTAAAACTGTTGGGATTTGTGGGATACACGTATATGATTGAGGCTGCGTTTCGATTGAGTGTTTTTGCACCTGTTTTTGAAAAACTGTTTTTCACATTTCAAATGCTACAGTAATGTGTATTTCAAAAACAACTTAAAAAACACCATATCCAAACAATATATCAAAAATAACTCCAAATATATTTCAATTATGTATATTTAATTTGTATATTTTAATAAGTATATTTCAATTTGTATATTTTAATTATGTATTTTAATATGAATATTTCAATTATATTTTAATATATTTTAATATGTATATTTCAATTATGTATTTTAATATGTATATTTCAATTATGTATATTATATATATATTATATTAATATAAATATATTTATTTCAATTATGTATAATATTATATATATTATATCAATTGAAATAAATATTATATATTTATATAAATACATTTATTTATATATAAATTTATTAATATATTTATTCAATTTTGTTTTATAATATATATTAATATATATTAATATGTATATTTCAATTATGTATATTATACATAAATTATATTAATAATAATGTATATTATATATATTATACATTTCTAATATTATATATTTATACATACATATTATAAATATTTTATTTTATTTATAATATATTTTTATTTATTTATAATATATTTACATAAATATTATATGTTATATAAATTATATATAATATAATATATAATATATTATACATTTATATAAATGTACATTTATACATAATATATAAATATTTATGTATATTTATAATATACATTTATATTATGTATAATATATAATATAATACATTTATACATTTATATTAATATACATAATATTAATTTTACATTTATACATAATATTAATACATGTATATATTTATATTAATTATAATAATACATTTCTACATAATATTAATATATATTTATAATTTATTAATTTATACATTTATATAATATTCATTTATAATTTATACATTTTTAATAATATACACTTATACATTTAAATATACATTTATATTATGTATTATATATAATATAATACATTTATACATTTATATTAATATACATAATATTAATTTTACATTTATACATAATATCAATACATATATACATTTATATTAATTATATAAATACATTTCTACATAATATTAATATATATTTATAATATATTAATTTATACATTTATAATAATATACACTTATAATTTATAATATATTTATAATATTCATTTATAATTTATACATTTATAATAATATACACTTATACATTTATAAATATATTTATATTATGTATTATATATAATATAATACATTTATATATTTTTATAGGAATATATAAATATCTATAAATGTATTATAAATGCATATTTGTATAACAAATATAAAATTTATAATTTATAATTTATACATTTATATAATATTCATTTATAATTTATTCATTTATAATAATATACATCTATACATTTGTAAATATAAATGTATTATAAATGCATAAATGTATATTTATATAAAAATATAAATATTCTAAATATTCTAAAAATACTCCAAAATATGTTTCAAAATTACCTCTAAAAATAATCCAAAAAAATCTACAGTAAAAGTTTTTCATATAGTTTTTGAAAAACAACCCCAAAAACAACTAATCCAAACGGACTTGTTTTTCAGATTCAAAATGCTACAGTGGTGTTTTTGAAAAACAAACCCAAAAACAGCTAATCCAAACGGAGCCTGAGTTTTTAGGCCACGCAAGTGGAGAGGAGATGCCCTGGGGGTTGGCTCGGGTGTCACCGGTAGCTTCTTTGAATCCTGAGTTCGCGTGTTTGAGTCGTCCCTCCTACAATCCTGTATATTCTTGGAGGTAATGTGCACAAAAGTAGGGAAATTAGTCTGACAAAATTGGAATACTCCCTGGATCGAAAAAAAAAAAAAAAAGTGGAGACGAGATCATAGGTCCTCAATCATCTCTGGAGTATAGTTCAAGGAGATCAACTACTAGGATATTTCCTTTCTTGCATGTACCAGAGTGTAAGCCGTCCAGACCTCAAAGCCAGTCCTATTCTGTACGCCACTATTTTGGCTCAAGTACGGGTATCCGGTGCGGGTCTAATTGTGATATTAAGAACTTTTTAAAAAGCGAAGATGGTCAATTTTGTATCTAATATTTTTTTTCACTAGGGTCAATTTAGTTCTTTTTTTTTGTCTTTGCCTAATTTGCTCATAAAACTTAATTTTTGAGTCGAATTAAGTCCTTATGCAGTAACCCCACCTCTTAAAATCGATCAGCCTCCTCCTTTTAATTTGACTGCTAAACAAGGTATTTTGGAAACTTTGGACATGGGTCGTAATAAAACCATATAAATCAAGAAGAAATCATATACTCCCTCCGTCCCACTTTGATAGTCCTATTTTCCTTTTTCGTTTGTCCCAAATTATAGTCCACTTTCTAATTGAAGAATGTAGTTGTATTTTAATTTTCTAAAATACCCTTATTCAATGTAAGTTGGTTATTACTATAAAACTACCCTATTTAATGAGAGTTGATTCTTTTTTTACCATCATTTTAAGTTCCCATAAAGTTGTACTCTAATTAATGTGAGGATATTTTAGAAAAATAGTTACCTAAATTGATTGTTCCAACAAAGTTAACTACTTTTTATTAAATTGTGTGAAAAAAGTATCAGGACTATCAAAATGGGACGGAGGTAGTAGTATTTAGGGTACTTTAAAATTTAAAATTCTTTGAGCTATTTTTAAAATTTTTTTAATTTAATTGTTTACCCTTCCCCTGCCTCATCTTTCCATGCTACCGCTATCACCTCTTTCCTTCGCTCTCCTCTCGGTCGACTACTACCTTCTATCACCTCCTTCTTTGTCAACCCATAATTCCTTCTTCCTCAACATCTCTTCCTCCCACCACTGTTTCGCTTCTTTTTTCTTCTTTTCCTCCTCTTTCTTTTCTATAATTCTTTTACTAGCAGTCTTCTCCAACCCCTCTCTCCCTCCCTTTTCCCTCCCACTACAAGGCTCTCGTTTTCCTTCCTCTCGTAGATCTATTTACGAAGCCAGATCCAGTAGATTTGGCCAGATCTAATCTTCGCGGGAGAGAAAGAGGAGGGGAGAGGAATGTTGGTGAAAGAGGATATGGAAAGAGAAGAAAATGAGGAGGAGGGAAAGGTGAGAAAAGAAGGGTAGGAGAAGAAAGAGAAAATAGATGGTGTGCACTAGAGTTTGGTGGCAGGAGAAGTAGAGTACCCAAAGCTTAGGATTGTAATCGAGTCGAGTCGAACCCGAGTATCGCCATACTCAAGCTCGACTCGACATGCAAGAAGGCTGCTCGAGCTCGAGCGAGTACTATTATTGGAGCTCGAGCTCGAGCTCGATGCTTGCTCGCAATACTCGAGCTCGACTCGCATGGGCTCGAGTCCATGCGAGCCTTATCGAGCTCGAGTTATTAAAATTCATTTTCTTGATAATTTTTGAACTAAAAGACATTATTGCCCTTTTTAAATTTTTATATGACTTGAAATATTTCATAAATTCGATAATTCTTTTGGGTATAAGGGTAATTTTATAATAATAATATATTAAATAATTAAAATTAAAATGCTCGATAAGGCTCGTCGAGCCTTCGAGCATCGCTTCTGGATGCTCGAACTCGACTCAATAACCTTATTGAGCTGCTCGAACTCGATTTGACCAAGTTCGAGTCAAGCTTAGTTGGCGAGCAGCTCGGTTCGATTACATCCCTACCAAAGCTCTCAAAATACCTTTATTTAGTTATTAACTCAGAACTTAGATTATTTTTAGATAGTGGCGCAGTTACAGAGGCCTTACTACATAAATTTTTAGATAGGAGTTAGATTATTTTTAGTAAGATTTTACATACCAAAGGATGTATATATATATATACACACCAAAAGAATGAATGTTATTAATATAGTAGAACTATAATTATCTTGAGGCTAACTGATCCAAAAGTCGTTTGCTTCACGAGTTGACCGGTCAACTGGTTATTAATCCGATATTGAGGCCAAATTTGTTTAGATTTGCAGCATGGCTTGAATACATTGATTAGAAATGATCATCTTTTGTAGAGGGGTAAATAATGCCAGGATCTAGCAAGTAAAACACTGGGAAAAAGGTAAGCTACATTAGGTCCCTGGCAGTGAAAAATTCAAGTCAATCCACTTCTACCCCCATGCTATCGTATCGTATATATAGTGGTGTCTATTCAATTTTTCATGCAATGATTATAGTTTCATGCAACGGGGCAAGCTAAAGTC